AAAAATTAAAGGTATTACTTCTTAGTGTTTTGTTGGGGATTTTACAGAGTTGGAGCAAAACCTGTTTTCTCACCCATCTTTCATTTTTCTTTATTACTATTAAAATGCATTTTGTAGACTTCAGGAAATTCTAGATGAACACATACAAAATTTCAAATCTGTTATAAACTGATAGGAAAAGAAAAACTATTTGACAAGCAATATTAATTATCAGTATGAAAGTGTATTTGCAATTGCAAAGAACTAACATCAAGGAAATTAAGTGAAAAATCTCAAATTATAAGAAGGCAAACTAAAGCAGAATAGATGAATTGTCAAAAATCTAAAGATCACAAGAGTTGTTCGCCACATGTGTAGATGGGAGTGGGGGAAAGCCTGGATTTAAGGATCAAAAGATAACACATTTTTACATCTTGGCTTAACAAATTGCATGACAACCTATTGAACAGGAAACTCCTGTCAGCTATTCTGTAATGTTTTACACAAGTACTGATAGGAATATATAAAATACTCAGACATATCTTGCAAGGATCTGAGTTCTCAAAGTTATGTGAAAGCAAAGAACAAAGTCTGGTTTATTGTAAGTGGGCCAGACTCGATTGAATAAGCCTGTTTTATCTAAAAAGTCCAAAACACTCATTGCACAACATCCTAGTAGAAAATACAGCTACCAACTTCATGCAAAACTCAGCTTATAAGCATGTCAGTATTTATTCCTGTTGAATCAGGACAATTTAGTGATTGAATCTAAATTGTAGAGCCTAAAAAAATTGCCTTTGGTTTCTCTCCTTGTTTTGTCTAAAACAGCTACTCTTTACATTTGGACTGCAATATCAAAAAAAAAAAAAAAACAAACAACAAAAATTAAATGTGTACTTAACATTTGCATTGGCACTTTCAAGTGTAAATCTTTGCACCCTCATTAGTATATGTATCTTTAGTGCTTTAGGAGAAAAAAAGTCTCAGTCATGGAATTAGAATCATAGAATAGTTAGGGTTGGAAAGGACCGTAAGATCATCTAGTTCCAACCCCCCTGCTATGGACAGGGACACCTCGCACCAAACCATGTCACCCAAGACTCCATCCAACTATCCCATAGGAAAAAGCTGTAGCTTATCAACCCTTCCTAGTTACCACCTTTCCTTATGTTAAAAGTGGCATAGCTAGAGTGGTGCTCTAGCTCTATTTACCTGGTCAACGCAGAACCATAGCTGCATAAAGCATACTCATAGAAAAGATTCTGGCACGTGACTTAAGTATCAATAGTACAGCCTAGCACGGAAAGGGGACAAGAGCTTCTGTTTTAGAGAAGAGGGTGCAGAATCCTACTATGGCAAAAAAGGCCAGGATTTTCACCCAGAAATGCAGAGACTATAACCTCTCTTTCCATCATTGCACCTCAGAGGCAGCAAATGCCTGCTCATTAGATTGTGTCTTGGCTTTACTATGGCTTTGACTGAATTTCTGGTGACTTAACTCCCTTGCTGATACTGAACATGACAAGATAGAGCAGATAGTCCCTATTTCTCAGCTGTGAGGCAAAACTAGCTCCCAGTTCTAACTGACAGCATCTTAAGGAAAAGTTAAGAAGGTAATTTAAGCTGGAGAGACTGGAATATGTCATGTCAGGGGAAATACTCAGGTTGTAACAGCAAGTCTTTAAAAAGCCCTGTGCACAAAATGGCATGTGGATTTACTGACACTAACTTGAATATATTTTCACTGACCATCTTTTTACTCCTGAAAGGCTTTTTTGTTCCAAACTCGAATTATATTTTTCTAATGTATCTCCTAGAAATAAATTAATAGGTTTTGCTGAAATTAACCTCAAAAGTTGATATACTAAGATGACATGCTGGAAATTTATGGCATTAATATTTATGCTTTAGTATATTTGCAAAAAACTAAACCGAAGGAATCAGAAACTGCTAAGCAACTTCAACTATAGCTGGTATCTCCACAGGAAATACAAATCATTCACACATACTCAGATTTCTGTAGCACTGTATGTGCCAGGAGATCCCAAAGGACTTTATAGATCCAGGTCTCTCTAATTTTACAAGCTTTATCATCCTTTCTTGGCTTTGAGGACATGAGTGGTCTTTAAATTAGCCTAATTTCTGATACTGATTTCTATCAAGCAGGAACATTACAGCAAGGGATGATTTATGGTAAGAGACCTGGTGATTTAATGGAAGCGTATCACAGAAATATTTCTGCTATAAAACAGAAGTGAGGAAACAGTTAACAGTGTTAAATTTTAGATTTTCAGTATTAGGATTCAGGGTAACAACCAGCTGCTTGAATGCAAGTGAGGGAAAATCCATCTTCCAAGCTCACATTTCAGTCCGCCTGCTGGCAGGACTTTGATGCCATGCACTGCTGTCCTGAATAACAGCTTTGCAATGTAAAATATTTAAACTTAATCCTTACATCTCCCAGTTCATACTTGTGCTAAGCAAATATGAGTATGCAGTAAATTCCACAGCCAGCGAACCACGTGTGAGATTCTCAGAAAGATGGATGTTTTCTGGTTGTGTAGTTACTTTTCAAGCAGCTTTTGTACATTGTGTTCTTTCCTGGTCTTGTTTCTGTCTGTGTTCTTCTTAAGGAATGGCTGTATAGTCATTTTAATCTGACATAAATCTGGCCTATTCGTAACATGATTAGTTCTGTCACTCTTGTTCCCAGATGCTTTACTTGCTGTCTCCCTTGTGCCAATTCAATCACTTATGTACTTGAGCTGTAAATGTTATCAGGGAACCCATCCTGCTCATAAAATAATCTTTTCCCAGTTTGCTGAGTCAGGTTTGATTTTGTGCTGTTTAATCTGATCTAATTCTGTCCCATCCCCTCCCTGTGCTGCCCACAGCATGCTAGAAAACAAATTCATGAAAAAAAAAGTGGGGCTTTTTTTTGGAGCTGGATGAGTTTACTCATCCAGTTCACTGCACAGCCACTTCAATAGCAGCAGCATGAGTAACCTTGGGCCTGAAAAGTAGGTGCCTCTGCTTCCATAGCAGCCTGGACACATGCTGATTTGAATACACTGCTTTAGCTGTTCACCTCACAGAAGTACTTTGTCAGATGAAAAAGCCTATAAATCATAATCTTGCAAGCTTTTCAACATCCTACTTATTATAGAAGATGCATTTTTACTTCGTTATTCTTGGCTTCTTCCCATCCCTTTTCTTCAGTATGTGTCTGTTCACTATCAAAATCATAAATACTGGCCTATATTTACTTCATAGTCTGTGCAAAACCTGAGTGTATGCCTAAATAATTCCTAAAGTGAAACAGATTAGAAGAGATTCAGTCAACAAAATGCATTTTCATTTTATTTTCATAAGTATTCTTTACATTAATTACCCAAATGTAAGATGAAAAAAAAAAATTGAAACTATTAAATACAAACATCTGTATAAAAGCATTATTTCAAAACCGTCCTTACAAAAAAAAACCAACAAACCTATTTTCAAGTCCTGCAAAGGAGTAGTATTTCACATCCTTGTGATCAATAGGATGGTAGAGAGAAAGGGAAAACCTTAGCCTACTGAAAAGTATTAGTTTTTCAGAAAAACATTTTTATATTCTACATGATATTTGTAACAAATTGTATACTGCTAGCATTTTAACAAGCATAATGACTGTATATTTACAGTCATAAATATTTTTGTATTTAAAAAGATGAGTAGAATGACAGTGGCCACCCTCAGACTCATTTGTAGGTGCCATTTCGTACAAGGTACAGGAAGATGGTATACACAGAAAGCAGAATGTTTTCGTTGTTCAGATAAACAGTCTCAGTGTTTTAATGCATTCAACCAGAATGAGTTTAGTGGGTGAGGAGAAGCCTTTGATAAGACTTTTGTAGGATCACTGACATCTTAAAATGTAAATACAGAAGTGACATAACTGACTGATGCTTAACCTGGAGATAAGATACTCCAGCTGTACAGCAGGGCAGATATAAAGGAACAAGCTTGGTTTACAAAAAAAAAAAAATCAGCTGGGCAATTTGCCCAAGATTCTTATTCTGTTTATTCACTGATGTCAGTAATTCAGGGTGTGGGCTGACACTGCAGCTAAAGAGTGCAGCCAAATACTGTCAAAGGGCAGCCTTGCTGCCTGCCCATGAATGGACTCTTAATGCTTCCTTCATGCCAACACTGGGACTCATCTGATGCCATACTGAGCCCATTCAGGCAAAAAAATAATACCACAAAATAAGTACTGATTAATCTTCAGCCAGTTTGGCCCTGTGGCTTTCATAAGGAAATGAAAAAAAGCTGTATATGCGTATTTTAAAACCTTACAAAAAAACCCCCTCTATTTGAAAGTACTGCAAAGGAATAATAGCTCATATCTGTGTTGTGATCAACAGGCTGGGGAAGGCCTGACAAACTTTACAGTTGTTTGCAAGGAACATGAAAGTTTGTACCTTGTATTCTACATAATTGTAGAATCAAATGTGAAAATGAAGGGATTATTTGGTAGCTGAAATTCTGATTTCTTGTCAGTCAGGAACTGTCATTCTGCCCTTGGAGCTCTGTTTGTAGCTTCTTTTTTAAGTTTCAGAACGGACTCCCTGGTACCAGACTCTACCCAACAGAAGAAGGGGCACTTCTTAAGAGGAACACATCTACAGTGATAGACCAACTGGCACCCTGACCTCCACGGAACCGAGCTGCGTCTTCTTTGGCTTTAGATGCCCCTCATTTGCACAAATGCTTTCCGAGTTCCCAGTGGCTGCTCCGCGCATTCAGAGGGCGAACAGCCGGCAGCACCAACTGCAAACCCACCTCTCTTCACCAGTCCGCCTGGCGCAGGGCGCTGCTCCCCTCACAGGCTGCCGGCAGCCTCCCTGGGCACAGCGCCCCCTAGCGCCCCGCCTCTCCCGCGGCAGGCTCGGCCCTCAGGGCACCACGGCTCGCGGCCTCCCACAACGGCTCCGCCGCCACCACCCGCAGCGCTCACGCGCACCCTGCGTGCTCCCCCCCCCCCCAGCGCCCTCCCCTCCCCAGGCACCGGCCACCCAGAATCGGGCCGCGGCCCGGTTGGCGGAGCCGCCCCCCACCCGCCGGGCCTGAGAAGGGCGGAGCCTCTCCGAGCGCCCACGGTTACCATGGGCGAGGCGGCGCAGCCCCCGAGGCCCGGGGTCGGCGTGGGGGTGGTGATCACCAGCGCCGCGCACCCCGACTGCGTCCTCCTGGGCAAGAGGAAAGGCCCAGTGGGGGCCGGCACCTATCAGCTCCCCGGAGGCCACCTGGAGTTCGGGTAGGAGCCCCGAGACCCCCCATCCCACACCCTCCCCGCGGCCCCGCCGGTACGCGCGCCGTGTCCTGAGGCGGCCGTGCCGTGCCGTGCCTTTCTCTTCCCGCAGGGAAAGCCTGGCCGAGTGCGCGGCGCGGGAAACGCTGGAGGAGGCGGCGCTGCGGCTGCGCAACGTGCGCTTCGCCTCCACCGTCAACTCGTTCTGCACCGCCGCGCGGTACCACTACGTCACGGTCCTCATGAAGGGGGAGGCGGAGCCGGGTGCGGAGCCGCGCAACCGCGAGCCCGAGAAGAACGAGGGTGAGGGGCGGCAGCGTGGGAGGGGGGTGCCCGTTGCATCAAAACGCACCCTGGAGGTCGGTTTCCCGTTTACGTGCGTGGCCACACGCTGTGACCGACCGAGGGCGGGGGGTGGCTGCTGGCACCTTTATTCCGCAGAGCTGAGCAGACGCTCACTTCTGGTAGGGTCAAGGCTTAAGGAAAGTAATGAATTTAAAGTAACTGTGTTGGTAATTTCTGTGCAGTCCGTCCGGACTTGCAGAGGCGGAATTGTTACATGATTATCGTACAATCACAGAATAGTTTGGGTTGGAAGGGACCTTAAAGTGCATCCAGTTCCAACCCCTCCTGCCCTGGGCAGGGACACTTTCCACTAGACCATGTTGCTCCAAGCCCCGTCCAACCTGGCCTTGAACACTGCCAGGCTGGGGCAGCCACAGCTTCTCTGGGCAGCCTGTGCCAGCACCTCACCACCCTTACAGGGAAGAGCTTCTTCCTTATATCTAAGCTAAATTCTAAATCTCCCCTCTGCCAGTTTAAAGCCATTCCCCCTTGTCATATCTCTACATGCCCTTCTAAAAGGTCCCTCTCCAGATTATTTGTAGGCTCCGTTTAGTCACTGGAAGCTGCTTTAACATGTACCCTGAGCCTTGTCCAGGCTGAACAAGCCCAACTCTCTCAACCTGTCTCTGTAGAAGAGGTGCTCCAGCCCTCTGAACATCTTGATGGCCCTCCTCCATACTCACTCCAGCAGGTCCACATCCCTCTTGTGTTGGGGACCCAAGCTGGAAACAATACTGCAGGTGGGGTCTCAGGAGAGCAGAGTAGAGGGAGAACCACCTTCCTTGACCTGCTGGTCACACTCCTTTTGAATCAGTCCAGGATACTGTTGGTTTTCTGTGTTGCAAGTGCACATTATTTCATTCTCTGGCTTTTTCTTTTTCCTTTTTTTTTTTTTCATTTTTTCCCTGCAGGTTGGGAATGGGTTAAGTGGGATGAATTTCCTCCAGCAGATCAGCTGTTCTGGGCCTTACGCTGTTTAAGAGAGCAAGGTTACAATCCCTTTACAGAAGAGCTTGATCATCTGAAGGGGTACACAGGAAGTCACCAACTGGGGTAAAAAATAATGGCACATGATGTAACAAGCCAAATGAAAGACATGCTTTTTGGTGTAAAAGAGAAAAGGATACCTCATGTTCTCTCTGCCCATGTGAATATACCACCCTTTCCAAAGCCAAAAGGATGCCAGATGTTTCAGTGCTTTGACCGTATTTCATGTGACAGTTGTCTCTCATTCCACAGCTATTTCTAGCTGTTGTGGTTAACAGTGACTGTCTTCTTTAATATAAATCTCAGAGTGTTTTAGCTGGTTAATCTTTATATGGAAGAGCAGCAGAAGTCAGAGCAGAAGTTAGAGAAACATACCCCCTTGGTAACAGTTGCAGCATCAGGCTCAAGAGGAACTTTTTTTAAGACAGTGTCCTGCTATGTAAAACTTCTTTGTGTATCATGCTGCTTTCCTTATAATTGTAAATAATTAATTATAAATCTTGGACAAATTTTTAAACTTAGCCTTGTCTTGTAGCTTCAGTTAAGATACTGTCATGAACAGAAGTCACGTTCTACAGACAATGCCTCATTCTGCAGACAGTATATACTTGAAAGAGTACTACAAACATGAAAAGGATTGTCAACATTAATGATGAAAGGTTTATTGCAGGGGGTGAAGATTCCCATCCTTCTTGCCACCCTCTTTCCTTACAGGGTTCTGTTTGCAGCCTCAGTTACATTAAAATTTACCTGAAGAGGTGTTCCAGATCTCTACAGTTGATCTTAATTCCTGATCAGGTTACTAAACTCTTAATAGTTCAATTAGAACTATTAGAACTGGAGAGGTGCCTAAAGTGTTCTGCTAGGCTGAACACAAATAAGCTGACACAAATAACATCACACAAACTAATCTTGATTGATAGGTGTAGCTCTACAGTAGACAGCCATACTTTGGGGCTAAAGAGGGTTGTAGGTTCTAAACAGCACAGTCAGTACAATTCTGTATGGCGGCTGGATTTGATAGAATTGTTCATTTTCAGTTTGATGTGATGAAATGATTGAACAGAGGCAATGAAATCATGACATACAAAAAATTGTGCAAAACCAATGAGTTTATATTTTTAATTTTTCCAGGATCTGTAACCAGATTTGATTCTTTTCCAGCTGTAGTTCATTAGAACATCAGCAATTCATTTTAGGATATGACTTTTTTAAAAAAATCACTAATTGCCTCATTTTTTTCTCTTTGGGCTTCTTTTAAAACACAGGTTTTGTCTGTTTCCAACTGTTGTACAAAATGTTCTGAGATATGTTTTATTCAAAAGAAATTAAAGTTAAGCACAATATTTAAAGATTAAAATTGTCTAAAATTATGAATTGACTTGTCAGTTCTTAAAATAAATGAGCTTGAATGGTTTAGAGCTCAGAGATAGCTCTTTTTCCTGAGAAGCAGAGTGATACGAGGTGTAAGAATGCTGCTTAATTATTGCAAGCCTCCTTGCTTAGAATGTGAAGTATTAACTACATGCTACTTAGGACATATTCTTTCTCTGAAGTGAATAAAGAAGATAATGTTATAAAGCAGTTTTGAAATGGGGAATATCACTGAAAATTCCTTTACCGCTGTATCTTTGTAGAAAGCTTATTTTTTTCTATTCAAAAGTGGAGGTTTTCTTCTTGAAAGCAACTTTATGTACACTGAAAATTATTCCATTCAGCTGTCAACAAAGAGGCTGTAGGAAGAGCTGACAGATGTCATGCCCATCTGTCTCAAAGACTAAACAGGAAAAAAAAAAATTGCCATTATTTAATATGATCTAGTGCAATTTTAAATTTTAGAAGGCATTTGGCTCCTGATGGGGAAACAGGGGTCACTGTAGAATGGTTTGTCATACAATAAATATTTTGATACCATTAATGGTTATATTCATTCTATCTGTTGTAAATACACAAGCAATTACTGAAATGAGGACACAAACAGTATCACCATATGTCAGGGCTTCTGCATCCTTTCTAAGTGGACTGATGAAACTACTACAGTGCACTACTGCAACCAGCTGTCAGCAATCCCTAACTTAAGTAACTTGGTTTGTATGTATCATGCATTTGTACTTTTTTTTTCCCCAGGAAGTTTGATTCTCAATAATTTTTTTGCTGCTAAGGCTCAGTGTTTTCAACTAAATGTTATGTTTACTTTGATTTTTGGTACATTTGCTAAACAGTAAAATCTATTGGGTACACATTTAAGCCACTTAATAAGAGAACACAAATATGGTTTGTTTAACTTACTGTAATAGACAAAATTCACCTAAAATAGCATTATAGTTATCCAGTATTGAGAAAAATACTCCTGAACAGCATATGGTTTGGAGCACTGATGGAAAGAAACTCATTAGGATGTATCTTATACCCAGAGTCTGATTCTATGCTAAGTGAACTGTGTGCAGAGTTGTTGTCTTACCTGTTTCTTAGATGTAACACCACACTGGTCCCATTTGGTCCCTTTTAATCCTTCAACAGACTAACAAGCAACCCAGGAGAAAAAAAAAAAAAAGTGTTCATTGCTTCTGTTCATCCTTATGTCTGGAAACAATCGCCCACCTCCACAGTGAATCACACGATAAAGCCATGTAAGAGTTTTGGGTAGACTGTACATTACACTTCCCATCACTATTAATTATCTCTATTTGTATTTCATGCCAAGAAAAGTATGTTCTTACAAATGAGAAGACAAGAGACTAGTGACCTGTGGCCATGTCGTAAGATGTGTTGAGAGAGGGGCATTTAGGGAAGAAAATACTAATCCCACGGTACAAAGCAATGAGTAGCTGCATTTTGCAATATTGTGTATGATTCTGGTCACGCATGTTTAAGAAAAACAATGTGAACTAGAACAGGGGTAGCCAAGATTAACTAGAATGATTGACATGGGGCAGGTGTATTTGAGTTAACATGAATTAAAAATTCATCTTAATACAGTCCTCTTATGAAGACATTGGGGATAAACTCCAAAGAAGAAAAACAGGATACTAAACAAAAGTCAAAATATGTATTTATATGGAAAACTTCAGACTGCAGAATAGAAGTGAAATTTTAGTAACTAAAAATACTTCCAAAAGGAACAGCTGAGACAAAACCAAATTCCCAATTTCTCTTAAAAACAAAAAAGCACTGCCCTATATTATGCAACTGAACCTGACTGAAGTCCTTTTCATGTCTACATCCTTATGGGATTTGTATGTCTGTTGATCATATGTGGCAGCATTACTGACAGCAATACTTGGAAGATTCTCCGAACAAACAATGAAGTACCTGATTTATCAGATACTTCCTGTGAGAAATCTACAAAATGGCAGTGTGGAGTAAATTTGTGATCTGTCCTTCAGGAAGCCTCACTGCAGGGCAGAAACCTGTAACTGCCATGAGCAACAGTTCACATTAGTTTCTGATCTGATCAGAGGTTTACTTAAGAGAAAAGTAGCCATTGTAAAATAACTCCTTGAGCGAAACAGACCAGGGAAAGCAAAGCCAAGTGCCTTTGGAAAGATGAAAGAACATTGTAGCTGAGGCAGGAAATGCAACAGCTGAAGTAAACAAATCATCAGGTTCAAAGAACTGAAAAATTATAGACAAGAATGAGTACTTTGAACTGGAAGGAGCTGAACCTGCAGTGTGCCCCAAGCATGTCATCTCCGGGGGCCCAGGATGCTTAACCAGAAGCCTTGCAAATGGATGGGCAGTCCACATGGCTGCCTCAGCGTCTGCCCAGTTATGCATGTACCTGGCAAAGCTCAGCTGAAAAGGGCAGGCTCTCAGTTTGTGACTCCTCAGCTGCTTCTAATACTGACTTGGCATTTTGCAAAGGGGAAAAATGAGTACAAACTTCTGAAACTCCAGAATTCAACCACATACTGGGATAAAATGTGATGAGTACTGAAGTTACACAGTAACTCATTCAAGATTTAAGTCTGCAAAAAGAAACGAGAAGTTAGATCAAAGCTAAGTTTATTTATGACAAATCATTATATATTACAATAATTACAAACTTTTTTCCTTACACCTTATTCCCATGTTTTTGTTCTCGGCTCAAAAACATGGATTTAGGCAGTGACAAAAAAAAAAGATATTAAAATTATAAATGTCATGTCTCATTTCTGTGCCATAGAAAGGCCATCATCAAAACAGTAAAGTTACTAACATACATGGGGATTCCCCTTACACCTTTTTTCCCAGGAACTTCTGTCATCTAATGTATAGTAAACATATATATATATACACACCATGTCTCTTGCAAACATACACATTCACACATTTACATAATCGCTGGAAATGTGACATCTCTCCTCCAGCAGAAAGCTCCCAGTCATTTTACTTGAATATCTAATGCAAAAAAATATTCTAAAAAGTCCATGATTTATAAATTAGTCACCCTATTTCTGAGCCAGCTGTTATCTTCTCCCTACACAGGGCCACCAGTGTAATAAAAGGATATTGTGTCTTACGATGAACAGCACCCAACCTACCTTTACCACAGGAAAGGTCTACTAGGGATACTGTCCCTCTTGTACCTAGTCTGAGTCACTGCTGCTGCTTGAGGAGTCTGTTGACATAACTTCTACATCATCTTCATTCTCTTTATTGTGTCCTGGAGGCTCCAACATGAAGTCATTACTATGATTAGGAGGTAGCATGTTCATTGACATATCACTTGACTGCCAAGGATACTGAGGAGCCAGCACATCTGGAAAAAAAAGGGGCATTATCAAACAATCAGCTTTGTATATCAACAAATGCAAGAAGACAGCCCAGCCAGAACTCCAGTTTAAAATTAATCTTAAAATCCTTCCTGAATTCTGGACAGCTGAAACCCTCCATCACTGTAAAAGCCTACGCTGCCTGAGAGGCCCACTTATGTAGATGGCTCTTGATCTCTCATCACTCCTCTTCAAAACAGTATATATGCATACAGAGCTTTTCACCTTCAAAGCACAGTTTGAACTGCCTTAACATTCACAACCACTGGCAGTAATGAAAATGATCACCCTCTGTCAGTATGCAAAAATAGAGGAAAATATTAGATTAAAAAAAAACTAAAACCTTAAGCTAGACTAGAAATTCAAAATAAAAGGTTTTATCCAAATTTCACTGAAAATACCTTGGTTATCATTTTTCCCAACAGCAAATATGGCATACCAAGAGCAAAGGAGACGAGGGTCCTACTACAAAACCAGGGCCACAGAGATACTTGAAGTGGGAATGCCCCACTGTGCCCCAGCGAGGCCAGCTTCAGTTACCTCTGACTTCTCTCCCCTCTGGCTGTTTCTTCTCTTCTACAACTTGCAAAACCATTACACACTGTACTCCCTACCAACCCACCCTCTTCCCACACTTCTTAGTCTCTTCCTTCCTTGCCCCCCACAAACAGTTCCCATTTCAAAGCTGCACTATGCATCTATATGCCATTTCTTCTCCCTTCTTTTTAATTTATGCTCCTACTGCTGTGCTTCAATTCTTTTCCACTTACTACCAGGCACCACAGCTAAGACTATCCCATAGGAGAAACCAGCTATCTCCACTTACATCAAGAATTAAAAATAATTAGGTAGTCAGAAGTGAACAAAAACCCATGCACATGTTACTTTGAGTACAGAAAAACAGTGCACTCTCTAAGCAGGGGGGTCATCTAGGGGTGATGTATGCTCACTCAGGTGCTATCTAACTCAGAACTCTCCACACACATAGTAGCTTCTGATCTTCAAGTTCTCCACGTATGAACTACAGTTACAGTTCCCTAATACCAGATGCATTACCTACCTGTACAAATCTGACCCACCAGCAGATACCACGGCAGAATGCAGCCTTTGTGCTAGTTCTGTGACAGCTTTAGGAAGGCCAACAACAGTACAAGGTGGTCTCATACCACCTTTGGTGAAGTTAAACAACTTTATTTGAACCAGCTGAGAATAAAAGCCAGTGTTCTACATTTTGTGGCCATACTTCAATGCTAGAACTAGTCCATTATTAAACCAGGCTGAATGTATGTGCTAAGCAGCCTCCAAGTTTTCAGGCTACCAAGCAGCACAGTGGCTGGCTTGCACACTCCCTAAGGACTCAATAACCCAGTATGTCCCTGCAAAAGTCTCTAGAAGAGCTAAATCCCATAATGAGCATTCTCAGGACATGCCTCCACACACCAACAGATGCAGGATCCCTATACAAAATGCTGAAAAGTAGGGCAAAAGAAAGTAGGGCAGCCTCTACTTTCTTTTAAATGAAGTTTTGATGTTTCCTTTTTACCTGTTAGTCTAGTAATTAAGAGGATTTCCCCTGACATAGGAAATACAGATTCAAATAACAACTTTACTTAGGTGTATAAATCCCACATTTTCCAGCTTCTCAAGGAAAAGTCCTGAAAAGTGGGCTTTTGGTTCTTACAGAGACACAACTCAAAAGTAAAAGGAGCAAATCTGCATCCTCTGAGGCAGAGGAGCCAGCCAGAATGGCCTCTACTGAAACTTAAGCAAATAAATGCTCAAACTCCATGAGGAAAACACAACCTTAACTTGTACTCTGACCATGTTTGAGAAGAAAACAGAAAAGGTAGTACATGGGCCCATCCTCAGCATTTTCCTGGTGGGCTGCTATAGACAGATGTCAGGGTCCCACTCCTATTAGCTCACTGACCCATTTTATCCAAGGCCAGAGGTTTAGAAAGCAAGATGGTGCAGAACTTCAAGGCACTTCCTAAGAGGTGATAATAGCATTAGAGAGATGATGAGAAACACTAAATCCAAGTTTACTATTTCTCCAATGGAGTCATAGTACAGAGGTTTTCAATGTACTTAGTACAATTTTTGAAAACAAGCTTTCAGACCACCTGAAAGTGGCTTAACAGTCAGGTAAGAACTGTTACAGCTCTATGAAACTAAGAATCATCCACAATTTAGTCTAACCATGGTAGATTAATGCTGCACAGGTACAGAATCACTGGATTCTTGATTCAGTTACTATAATTTAGTGCTAAATTCTATTTTAGCATGAATGAATGAATTCCACTACAGTCAATGGAAGTGCCCATTTCACTAAGCAATTAAGGTAAGGGACTATAAAGCCCAATTCCTACACTCAAGGTACTACCTCACAAGCTGTCCTTTGCAGCATCTTTTCAATCCAGAACTTCTAAGCAAAGAGTCTTGCTATATGCAGCATAGACTTAAAGGAAAGTAGCGGGTGACAATAAACTTTTCTTCCAAATACAGCTTTCACAATCCCATACTTTGTCATCACTACTAAGAAAAGATTGCTTTGGAAATGCTGCTTTCTAATATCATTCGATATCACTTAATTTACAGCAATTTAAGTGAATTGAAGGGTAATTCAGTGACTTTTGCTTACACTTAGCTGTAGTGTCTGCAGTATGATTTAACATGAAGTAAAATTTATGCAATTTGTAAATGTTAACTCTATTTACTACATGATCGCTGCTAGGGAACACCACTGGCCATAATTTTCATTATCTTTACTCTGATTTGCCTTTGCAAATGTATAATTGCTATGACTGTACAAGGAATAAAGAAAAGCAAACAAAACAGTTTCTCTTACCTGGCAGTCTGCCCGCAGCAAGTGCATCCCCTGGTAAGTGGCCATTAACTCCATTGGTGGATGGGTTGTTCATCTGACCCAAGAGACCACTCCTCATTTCCAGATCTGTAGGATATGGCCTACGTGGGTCCCCTTTAAAAAAAAAAAAGGAATGTTTTTAAATATTTAGCAATTGTCTTGCAGACATTAACTTTTTCTTCAGTGCCTAGTTTCCTGACCAAAGAAACCATACTCTGATTGATTAGATCAGCAATGAGCATCACATCTGTTTTGTTAAAATCCAAGTCTGTGCCTTTCACTTTTTTTGTTCATTCAGACCTGGCAAAAAAGCACATTAAAAAAGCCACAACAACAAAAAAAAAACAAAAATAAAACAACCAAAAAACCCCATGTTTAGAGGATATCTTTGCTTTCCCTGCTACTTCACAGCTAAACAGCAAGGGCAGGAATTGGAAAACAAAAAAACAAAAAACCCTCACTTTCTCATTTTGGACAAGAAGGATAGTCCTGAAAATTGAAACCTGGCATGATGGAAGCCCTGCTTCCGACTCTACTGATTACTAACATCCTCTGAAAAGATTATTATAAGGGGCATAAGGGAAAATAACTAAGCACATGGAAAAGCCTTCAACATACTTGGTTCTAACTTACAATTGGGGCCAACATTCCACGGAAAAAAGCAAACAAAGAGCAGAGGAGAGCAGTCAGTTAATGGAATGTGAAGTTTCATAGCCTTTTGAAGATGTACATAACAAAGTCTACAGGACTTTGGATATCTATTTTTCATTGAAAATATAAGCTAGAAGAGGTGAAAACAATGTTATTCTAATAAACCCCGGTGTTCATCACTGTATAAAAGCATTGTAAGAAAAGGTACGCTTCATTATAAAAAAAACTTGTTGCCATAAACATGATGGTTACCTGGCACCCATGTGAGAGGGGCACACACAGCATTGCTAGCACTGATCCTATGGGCATATTTAATTATTTCTTCAGAAGAAATGGCACCTGGAAGAATGGAAGAGAAGTTACTATATTCACAAGAAGCTGCATCATTTAATTATTTCAGAATACTGGGCATTAATAGCTAGAAGATTGGGAATGTAATTTTGTCAAACATTAAGAGCATATCTCAAATGCAGTGACTACTTAGAGGATTCTTAGACTATGCAAGGCTGACCTTTACAGTGAACTGATTTTACAGCCACAAGTTCACTACACTTTTAATGGCAACAGATCTTTAACGCTGTGAAAAACACAAACCAATCTCTTCAGCAGTGTACTTGACAAGCACAATTTGTAAGAAACTTTTAGCACCTGCTTTATTATGGAATTTTCTGTAGTAAAGAAATTTTTTGTTGGTTTAATAATTGTAGGGCATACATGTAGCAGCCCTTCTAAATATGTGCATGTATTACAGTAACATAAGCTTAATGAAATTCCTCTATTTTTTTAGATAAAAAAGGTGTAACAAGATGATGAAAGACACGTAAAAAAAAAAACAAACCCAAACATTAAGAAAATGCCTCCCCCCAAAAAAAACAAAGAAGTAAGTTTCACTTGGTAAGTGCCATAATGTCAGAAATTGTTACAGGTTGTCCTGGGTTCAGCAGTAGCAGTCATTTTTCCCCTTCTTGGTAGCTGGTGCAGTGCAGTGTTTTGACTTTCAGCTAGAGCTGATAACAAGTGATGTTTTGGTTTGGCCAAGGACTTTGTGAGCCTCATGCTCTGCCAGGGAGGAGGGGAGGCCAGGAGGAAGCAGAGACAGGACACCTGACCCAAACTGACCAAAGAAGTATTCCATACCACAGCACGTCATGCCCAGGATGCAACTGGGAGTTAGCCGGAAGGGCTGGGAGACTGGGGGGTTGGAGGAGGTATCGGTCAGTCTTTCGGGCTGAAATACAGTTGGCTGGTGGTGAGGTGTTGTATTCTCTTCCCTTGTTATTTCCTTTATCATTATTATCATTGGTGGTAGCAGTAGTGATTTGTGTTATACCTTAGTTACTAACTAAACTGTTCTTATCTCAACCCGTGGGAGTTGCATTCTTTTCGATTCTCCTCTCCGTCCCTCCGAGAGCAGGGAGAGGGCAAGAAAGGGGGGGAAGTGAGCGAACGAATTACCTGACTGGGTTTAAACCACGACACAGGTACAACCAGTACCACTAGCTAGCCAGTCTTTCAAATACAGTGCATGCATACACAAAGCATTCTCTTCCTTTCCTCAGCAAACCTGCTGAAGCAATTTGGTGAGAGGCAGCTGCGTAACCAGACAGACTATTATCAGTCCAAGAAGAGTGCTGAGACAGTTGAATTCAAGACATGTTTGCCACCAAAAAAATACTAATTCCTGCCTTTATTCTGTTTATAGGTTCATAATGAAATGGAAATTTGTTTACACACAAAGCATCTGAAATCTGTAATAGTAGATGAAAATAAATAAAATAACACTAACTCAAGCTCATGAGCAACTTTGTTTACAATTGCATTTACCTAGGATGTATGATCATGGATACCCACCTTTTCTTGCTTTTTCAATTGATTTCAGCTTTTCCTTTGCTTGATAAACAGCTGTTGCCTAGTTGTAAAAAAAAGAATAATAAAAAAATGAAACAAACCAAACCTTCAAAGCATTTTTAATTTCTAAACTACACAAAGTCAGCTTCATGAATAAAACCCTTGCGTTTAATTGCATTTTAAGAAAGAAACTGTTCAGTGAACATTTTCAAAATATACGGAAATAAAGTAGGTTTGGAAGAAAATTAGCATTATAAACCAAAACTGAATACCATGATAACTAAAGAGAATATGACTACTGAAAAATAAAGCCAAACCACTAAGCTTTTATGAAGTTTTAAATATTTAAATCTTCTCAAACACAACACCACTTCCTCCAGAGCCACCTTTTCACAAGTAGGTTCTCAAAAGCAAGCACATCATTATGAACTTACCAGTATGTGCTCTGCTTCTTTTAGTTGTTTCTGCAGCTGCTGAATATCATTATCCCTCTTTTCTACTACCTTTTCTAAAAGCTGCATTTCATGATGGGTTTTCCCCTGATCAACTGCCAGCTTCATTAGCTCTTGAAACTCTCCATCTCTCTGAATCAGCAGTTCCAGGATCTATTGAACAAGAGTTTTGCAGAACTTTTAATTTAGCTGGAGTAACAATACACCCTCAATCAGGCTGTAAAGAAGAGCCACTGACATTCATAGAGTATTTCTGTTTGCATGAAAATTAAACAAAATTTCTTCCCTCTGTTTGCAAAAGCAGCCTAAGAAGCATACATCAAAATGAACAAACAAACAAGCAAACAACATGAGGACCAAGAATGCCTTTGTAGTGGGGCCAAAACCTAATCATCACCATTAGCTATGCTCAGCACAGACAAGAATAAAGGGAGAAAGAGAGTGGTGGTCCAGATATAGAAGCATTTTGCTTACACAAAGAAATACAGTTTAGAAAGTCAGCTTACCTGGGTCTCCTCTCCTGCTTGTGGAAGCTTCTGGTTTCTTGAAATTGCCAAAATTTCAATTAGCTCCCTGAAAGGAAAACTCAAAATTGGTGTTTGCACAATTTTCTAGGTCATTATTTGTAAACCACAAGTCATCCCCAAATTGTCAGTGTACTGATATCATTACAAAACTATATGCATGGACTTGAGTATTTTATAGTACAGTGTTGGCAAGGATTTCTCAACTAAGAGTAATTCTATGAATAGTCTCATGATTGAAGCACATTTTCTTTGTTCTTTGAGCTCATGAAGCACTTGTACATTTATACTCAATAAATGTGCCGAGTTCTTGCCAAACTACGCAAGACAAACAGAAGCTGAAAGAAGAAACAGCACAGTAAGCCACATTCATATCCTACTTATACTGCCTTTGTTGTAAGAGGGTGTGAAAGTTGTCCTCACCATTTTAGTTCTCTATTTTTTCTCCATTTTTTTTCCAAACAGAGCAAGTTTCACACTTGGGCTTAGAGCAATTAAGTCTACACTTCCAAGCACCTAAAGAGTTTGCTGTGAAACTACTTTTACTACAAGTATTTCTACAATAGTGTATTAGTTGTATATCAAACACATAGAAATACAATTTAAAAAGATAATAATCTTCAGGTGCTTGGTTAGAAGTGCTTCTCAAACTAGTATCTTGATCACACTTCCAGGTACCCATTTACTTTGTCACCATTCTGAAAAGCCATCAAGAACCTTGGAGGGAACTCACTAAGCAACAAGACCACAACATAAAAAGGCATTTCTGTAAACTCAGCAAACTTATTTGGCTTCTAATGGCATGAGTAACTGTCTATCTGAGGACACTGTCCTTGGAACAGATTCTCTGCTTGTTTCAGTGCAAACAGCTGAGTGGGATGTATGACTCATTCAGCACTGGGGCCAGAACCTTAAAATGAAAATAGGTGCTTGTTAAAATATCTGAAAAAGCCCCTCACTACTAAAGCTCTGAGTAACTTGTTGGCCTATGTCTCTTGGTCACTCCTAAATACTAAAATGATTTTACACAGCTAGATAATAAAGAAAGTTGTCATTATCACTAAAGCTTTATTCTACCTTACCAACCACTGAGCAGTAGCAAACAAAATGTTATGAATAGATCAGCTACCACCACCAAAGCTGGTGGCATGGAGGGTTGTAATTCTGCTACGTGTTAGCCAGAAAACACACAGACACGGATTCAAAACTATGCAAAGGCTACAGACTGTTGCTTAATGTTTGCCCATACCAGCAAACCAGTATCATGACTGGGAAAGGCCCAGCTCCACAGTGCTGCAACAGTTTGCTGGTCAATAGGCAGATTCACTAAATATTTTTGAGGGTTGCTCGGGATTCATTATTGTAGAATAGTCCAAATGGTCTAAACAGTCCCAAGATTAAAAAGAAAACCATAAAAAAAAAAAAAAACACAAAAAACACAACAAATAAAGAGCAACGGGATTTTGTTTTATTTCTTTCTCTACAAACACATGTTCTCTAGCAACCCATATGTCACAATAAAATCTAAACCTGAAAATAAAACTTATTAAGAAAACAAGATCAACTGACCAATGTATTTTCCTTCTTGTACCAGGGGTAATCATACAGAGTGAGCCAGCCGCGTAAACAGTGTGGGTTATTCCATGTGAAAAAGTTTTCCTAAGCTCCTACTCTCTCGAGAGGAGGAAAATGACTAGGAAACAGTTTAATTGAACTCTACAACACGGTGGCCAGCCTGGGTGAGGGTCATCAGACCGGCCTCAAAGAGCATGGAAAAAGTATCTGAGAATTACTCCAAAGGCAAGCTCTGCAGCCTACTTTGAGTTTAACACTAATGCTGGCAATGACCAGAACGGCTTGAGTCATGCAACACCACCTACAAATTTCTGAGTTAAACATAATTTTTAGTGACTAATAAAAAGCCTAAAATCTAAGGGGGAAGGGGAGGGAGATGCGTGCATGCAAGCATTTTCCAGGAAACGCAGGCTGTCAAGCAAGACAGCAAATTAGGTGGTAGAATGCTCTAAGAATAACAGCATGCTCTCCTGCTCTAAGAAATAAGGCGCTCTGGGGTAAAAGCTACGGAGGAGAACGCAGCGCCGGACCAACTCCCTCCCCTCCAGCAGGAGCCGGCCTGGGGACTGCAGGAGAGCCTGGAAGCGCGTGCACACGGGCCTGGCCCTGCTCTCGCCCCGCACACCAGCGAGAGGTCGGGCCAGGCCGGGCAGGGCCAATTCGATTCTACCCGATTCCCTCCCAGCCCAACCCCAGGGACACCCGCTCCTCCCGCCGCCCTCATCGGAGGCTCCACGGACGCTCAGCGACGAGCTCCGTCACCTCACCTCACCCCACCCCCGGCGCCCAGCCGCCACCCGGGGCCCTCCCATCCGAGCACAGGGGCACAGCGCGGTACCTGGCCAAGAGCTCGAGATCCTCCAGCGCCGCCAGAAGCCGCTCCCGGGTGCTGCTGCGCTCCCCTCCACCACCCCCGGCCGCCGCAGCCGAGGCCGCCGCCATCACGACCCCCGTCACGAGCCCGACCCAGAACCACTTCCTCAGCTGCGGCGCCAGGCCGCGAGGGCGCCAGGCCGGCCAGCGCCCCCGTGCGGCCAGGCTGCGAACGGCAGCCGGTGGCGGCTGACGCATGCGCAGGTGGGCCCGGCAGTTGCAGGGTGGTTCCTCCCTGAGCCCGAGCGGGAGTGGCAGTGGGCTCACCTGAGGCACTGGAGGAGGAAGGGTCGCGCAGCAGTGGGGACACGGGACGGGCATGTCGCACAGAGCCGTGGGTGTGCGGGGAAAGGAGGTCACATCTCCCTCAGTGAGGCCAGATGCGTTCTTATGAAAGCCCCCTCCTGGAGCTGGGTCGTTACACAGCAGGGGTCTGCGCTTGTTGCTGTTCTGGATGCATTTCCAGTCCCCGGATTTCCACAGAAGAGCCTCTAAATGAGATTCAGATGTATGCTAAAAACACAGAAAACTAAACGGCAGGGAAAAAGGGTTTGTGACTAAATTGAGTCTGAAGTTTTTTAACTTAAATTTTGACAGCCATGATAGACCAGTGTCCCTCAGGTGCTTTTTATCAGAAGGAGGATGAACTACCAGCTAAAGAAAGTTAGTGAAAATGTAATAAAACCCCGGAGCTTTAAATGAGCACCAATAGTTGTGATCTAGGCTGCGTTTCCCACTGGTGACAGGAGCCATGACCTGCCTGACACGCTGATGCTGTGACTGCAGACGTGTCCAGCTGTGGAGGCTAAAGGCAGCTTTGCATCCGCTACAGAGGCCTGCACACGGTGATGGGGCAGGTAACGGATGCAAATCCTGCCAGAGTTTCAGCTTTAGCTAAAAAGTACCATGTTTTTCTTGTTAATGTTGCTGTCTATGGGCTGGCGCTGTAAACAGGCCTCTAACCCTGGGTGGGGTCACAGAGAAGCCAGTGGAATTTTTTATGTTCATGAAGGTTTCAGTAATGTGAAGAGGTTCGGAGAGAAGCCAGGGTGAGGGCAGATGAGGGAGCACAGAGGAAAGCTAATCTGGGGCCAGGGTTTATAACCAGGGCAATCACTTCCACAGAAGGGAAATGAGTCCCCAGATCCCATGTCCTGCTGCCGGCAGGCGGCTGCAAAACCTGCCAGCAAACAGCAATTCTCTCCTGATTAGAGCAAGCACTAGATGAATGATAACACCCCACCGACTGCGCTGGTATTTACCCCGATTATCTTTTTACCCTCTGCAAAGTATGTCCCTGAGAAATTTACGCTTCTTTTTAAAAAAAAAAGGCAAGAAACTCATTAGCTGGTGATTCTTTTAATTGTGGTTTAAAGAAACGATTCAGCACAATGAGATTTATGATAAAGCAATGTGATTTGGCAGCCCTGAGGAGAAGATAACTCTGCCATCAGGAGTTACTTAAAATTCATTTACAATATACAACAACCTTCAGCGTTCTGATTGTAGATAGTTTGTGAATTCTGTTTAAACTACATAACAGATAACATATCATCAAATAATCCTGCCCTTTAAATAACTTTTGGTTGCTTTTTTGTTTGTTTTTCCCCTATGTTTCTGTGATTTTGTTCAAAGAAAGATGTAATTGGTGATGCTGTCTGGTTGTGCATCCAGTTCACTGATTTGTGTCTTTATGGGTGCATAAACAGAAAGAAATAGCAATTTTGAAAACAAAGCAGTCCTTCCTCTATATCATTTTCTTCCTCATATCCATGTTGACATCTGAATTATTTAGACCTGCAAGTACTTCTGATATATTCTGGGGCCGTAATACTACCAGATGAGGGTGAGGAAGTTGACGAGGCCTTCTACAGGCAGCTGAGAGCTGCCTCACAGTCACAGGCCATGGTCATCGTGGGGGATTTTAACTTCCCTGATGTTTGCTGGAAGGACCACTCAGCAACCCAGCCACAGTCCAGGAGGTTCCTCCAGTGTGTGGATGATAACTTCCTCCTGCAAATGGTGGATGAGCCAACCAGGAGAGGAGCGCTGCTGGATCTCATCCTCACTAACAAGGAGAGTCTGGTCGAAGCAGTAAGGGTTGAGGGCTGCCTTGGTTGCAGCGACCACGAGATGGTGGAGTTCAGGATCTTGTGTGGTAGGACTAGTAGAATACAAAGTAGAATTGCAACCCTGGACTTTAGCAGGGCAAACTTTGGCCTTTTCAAGCAATTGCTAGGGGAAATCCCATGGGCAAGCCTGTTTGAAGGTAAAGGGGCCCAAGATAGTTGGTTGACATTCAAGGATTGCTTTTTCCGAGCTCAAGATCGGAGCATCCCGACACGTAGGAAGTCAAGGAAGAGGGCCGTGAGACCTGCATGGCTAAATAGGGAATTGCTGGGTATGCTCAAGTGGAAGAGGAGAGTTTACAGGTCATGGAAGGAGGGGCTGGCCACTTGGGAGGAATATAAGGCTGCTGCTAGAGGATGTAGGAAGGCAGCTAGGATGACTAAGGCCTCCTTAGAATTAAACCTGGTGAGAAGGGTCAAGGACAGCAAAAAGAGCTTTTTCAAATACATGGCAGATAAAACTAACACCAGAGGCAATGTAGGCCCACTGATGAACAGGATGGGTGCCCTGGTGACAGAAGATACAGAGATGGCAGAGTTACCGAATGCCTTCTTTGTCTCTGTCTACTCTGCTGCAGGCAGTCCTGAAGAGCCCTGTACCCCTGAGACCTTAGATGAAGTCAGGTCAATGGAGCGGTTTGCCTTAGTCGATGAGGAATGGGTTAGAGACCAGTTGAGCAATCTGGACATCCATAAATCCATGGGTCCAGATGGGATGCACCTGCGGGTGCTGAGGGAACTGGCGGAAGTCATTGCTAGACCACTCTCCATCATCTTTACCAAGTCTTGGGAAACGGGAGAGGTGCCTGAGGACTGGAGGAAAGCAAATGTCACTCCAGTCTTCAAAAAGGGCAAGAAGGAGGACCCAGGTAACTATAGACCGGTCAGCCTCACCTCCATCCCTGGGAAAGTGATGGAACACCTTATCCTTGGTGCCATCTTAAGGCATATCAAGGATAAGAGGGTTATGAGGGGCAGCCAACATGGCTTCACCAAGGGGGAATCATGCTTGACCAATCTCTTAGCCTTTTATGAGGAAATAACACGGTGGATGGATGATGGCAGAGCGGTGGATGTGGTCTACCTTGACTTCAGCAAAGCATTTGACACAGTCTCCCACAGCATCCTCACAGCTAAATTGAGGAAGTGTGGTCTGGATGATCAGGTAGTGAGGTGGACTGCGAACTGGCTGAAGGAGAGAAGCCAGAGAGTTGTAGTCTATGGGGCTGAGTCTAGTTGGAGGCCTGTAACTAGTGGAGTGCCTCAAGGGTCAGTACTGGGACCGGTATTATTTAATATATTCATCAATGATTTAGATGAGGGAATTGAGTGTACTATCAGCAAGTTTGCTGATGACACTAAGCTGGGAGGAGTGGCTGACATGCCAGAAGGCTGTGCTGCCATCCAGCGAGACCTGGACAGGCTGGAGAGTTGGGCAGGGAATAACTTGATGAAATATAACAAGGGAAAGTGTAGAGTCCTGCATCTGGGCAGGAACAACCCCAGGTTTCAGTCTAGGTTGGGGAATGACCTGTTAGAGAGCAGTGTAGGGGAGAGGGATCTGGGGGTCCTAGTGGACGACAGGATGACCATGAGCCAACACTGTGCCCTTGTGGCTAGGAAGGCCAATGGCATCCTGGGGTGTATTAGAAAGGGGGTGGTTAGTAGGTCGAGAGAGGTCCTCCTTCCCCTCTACTCTGCCCTGGTGAGACCCCATCTGGAATAGTGTGTCCAGTTCTGGGCCCCTCAGTTCAAGAAGGACAGGGAGCTGCTGGAGAGAGTCCAGCGCAGGGCAACAAAGATGATTAAGGGAGTGGAGCATCTCCCTTATGAGGAAAGACTGAGGGAGCTGGGTCTCTATAGCTTGGAGAAGAGGAGTCTGAGGGGTGGCCTTATAAGTGTCTATAAATATATAAAGGGGGAGTGTCACGAGGATGGAGCTCTACTCAGTGGCAAACAATGATAGGACAAGGGGTTATGGGTACAAACTGGAACACAAGAGGTTCCACTTAAACTTGAGAAGAAACTTCTTCTCAGTGAGGGTGACGGAACACTGGAACAGGCTGCCCAGGGAGGTTGTGGAGTCTCCTTCCCTGGAGACATTCAAAACCCGCCTGGACACATTCCTGTGTACCATTATCTAGGTGTTCCTGCTCCGGCAGGAGGATTGGACTAGATGATCTTTTGAGGTCCCTTCCAATCTCTAGCATACTGTGATACTGTGATACTAGTTCTGCTAGAGCTAAAAGCTTGTGGTGTTAATAGTACACCCAGACTTGACTGGCCAAGGAGTGAATATCGGATGTGGGAGGGTCCTGTAGGCTGATTTTTCCCTCTTACTGTGCCCAGGGGCCTGTTCCCTCCCTTGTTAGTGACAGCAGTACTGCTCCCACCCAACCAGGCCAATACTGCCAATCCTTCACTGGAGCAGCCACCCTTCTCTCCCCACTTGTCAAAGTGCTGCCTCTCTTCCAATCAGTGTGCTTGGTACTGCCCAGTCATAGAATCACAGAATCATGGAATCACAGAATGGTTTGAATTGGAAAGGACCTTAAAGAACATCCACTTCCAACCCCCTTGCCATGGGCAGAGACACCTTCCACTAGACCAGGTTACTCAAAGCCCTATCCAGCCTGGTCTAGAACATTTCCAGGGATGGGGTATCCACAGCTTCTCTGGGCAACCTGTGCCTGTGTCTCACCACCCTCACAATAAAGAACTTCTTCCTTTTATCTAGTCTGAATCTATGTTTTTTAGTTTAAAACTATTGCCCTTTGTCCTGTCACTATAGGCCTTCACAAAAAGTCTGTCATCTTTCTTTTAAGCCCACTTTAAGTACTGAAAGCCTGTTACAAGGTCTCTCCGGAGCCTTCTCCAGGCTGAGCAAGCCCAGCTCTCTCTGCCTGTCTTCATAGGAGAGGTACTGCATCCCTCTGAGCATCTTCATGGCCTCCTCTGGGCCCTTTCCAACA